AAACCTGGCGAGGGCCAGGCTTCAGCTTCAGGTGGCCGCCAAGGCACACGCGCCAGGCCACCGCGACCGCGATCCTTCGGTAACGTTGATCCGACATCTGGTGCCAGCAGTTACGACATGCTACGAGACGCCCCCGAGCGTGGAAACACGCTTTCTGCGTCCTCTAGCGCAGCGCCACAGGTAGGGGCCCGTCGTGGCCGCCTACAAGGCGTACCACCACCTCCAGATGCAGTCGACGGAGGAGACCGACTGCGGAGAGCCACAAGGAACCCTCTTGCCTCTACCGGCTCTGGGGCTCCACGACTACCCGACTGGACGAGATTCGACATCCAACGCAGTCTGCAAGATCTCCGTAGTCACGAACCTCATGTCGTTAAACAGGAACTCCGTAAACTGCACCTGCGATGGTATCATGCGAAGTAACCCAAGATGAGGCTAATCCTCGACAAAGTGGGGCTGGATAACGTTCGACTGAACATGATCAAAGAAGTTTGCGACACCTGTCGGGAATGCAGAGCGTGGGAACGTCCAGGAAACTCAACACTACCTTCGGTGAGCCTTCCTGGTAACTGGCTCGACGAAGGCGAAATGGACCTCATGTTCTACAAGAAACGGACCATATTTCACATTATGGATCGTTGTATTCGCCTGGCAGCAGGCCAAGAAATTTCCGACAGAGAACGTGGCGCTATCCTTGACGCCTACCACTACTGCTGGATTGCCTATCACGGACCCTTCAAAGTCTTATACTCAGACGGAGAAGGCGCCCTGAACAATGATGCCGCTAAGGCCATGATGGCCAATAAGGGCACGGAACTTCGTATCCGAGCACCTTGCCAACACGCGACTTCAATTGAGTCACGAAGCGGCATTCTCAGAGGCGTCCTCCACATGATTGAGGAAGAACTGAATCGACACAACATCCCCGTTGTATTCACTAAAATATTGGCAGAAGGTATCTTCGTTAACAATGCCTTTACTTTTTACAACGGAGTATCGCCGTACCAAGCACACACAGGACGTCAGCCCTCCTTTCTTCTTGACCTCGACACCCTTGACTTTCCCAAGGGACCCGAGACATCAGGACACGAACGAGAACGTCGTGTAAGAGAAGTTAGCGTAGAAGCCGTAACTCAAGCCACTGCTGTGGCCAAGACAAATCGTGCTCTTAGGGCTAAAACGGCTCCTGATGGTGCTCGCCTTTACTCTGCAGGGGATCTGGTAGACTACCATCGACCCACTGCCACTAAGGACGATCATGGAGGCTGGAATGGCCCATTCCCGGTGATCCGTAATGTGCCTGAAAGAGGACATATTGTTGTCAAGGCAGGATCTCGTGAGGTAATTGTGATGTATCCTGATGCTCGTCACACACTACATTGAGTGCCTCCTCGCACGGGAACTTGGCATGGATAATATGGCCATGCAAGCCGTCCTTACATATGTGGCACACCTCGGCGCAGGGAAACCTGCCAAAGTTTTCGGCTATATCCCAGATTACAAGGGAAACCTCAATCTTTCAGACGACAGCAAGTTTCACCCGCGCGTACATCTAGCACTACAGTATCTCGTACGAAACTACTTCCGAGTAGAGCATGTAGTAGCAGTTAGATTGGCCAAAAGTGTGTCAAGCTTACCTGCAGTAAAGTACGCCACCGGGTCTGCGCTGATCCACTATGACAACGATATCAGCCCAGCTTTCCACTACTACGAGTGTGTGGGCACCGGCCTAAACATTTCTCAGATCACTGGTAGCACTCATTCCAGACTTATTCAATGCGTGACTTCACGTGTCCCTTCCTTAGGATTTCACGACGACCTGGCTAAATATCAGCACTCAAGCAACACGTCTGGAGAACGCGATTCGCCTGGAAACAGGCCTCCTCCAGATACCCCAGGTGCTTCATCGCCGAGTGAAGGCCGTCTGTCGACAATCTATGAGGAAAATGAGGAACATTATATCGAAGCTATGATGCTGGAAGAGTGGTACGACGAACTACGTATGGATCTTCATCCTACGACGACTACCGACGATTATCTCTACTGCGTCCCAACAACCATGCTGCCCGACCAATGTGTTTTGGTTTCAGCATCTGTAGACGAAGAAGATGTCATATCATCGGACACGCTCGGAGACGAGCCTGAACCACGAGAGTCTTGTCTAGTCTCTCTTTTCTCAACCACACCTGACGAGAGCTACTCTCTTGACAGTGATGAATATGGTCCTTACGTTGAGTTATGTTTTACATCAGAAATGTCAGAAGTAGTGTTGGATCAGACTCAACTTGCACAGGTCGACACTGACATGGTCGCAACGATGAGAGTATATGTATCCTCTGCTGCTAAACGTGCTGTAGTCGTTCAAGAAGATGACCTACTCACCAAAGTCGACATAGCAGCACATCCAAAGGAGGTTAGTGAAGCTTTGTACACTGAACTCAAAATCTGGATTGACAACCGATGCTTTGAGATGTATGATTTATCCAAAGCTTCCAACATCATGACATCCAGGTATGTATACAAGTGGAAGTTTGTAAAGGTGGGTACCGAGAACGTTAAAATCATTCGTCTCAGACTTGTCCTTCGTGGATTTATGGATACTGAGGCTTTCGACGTGGAAACATTCTCGGGAACTGCCCGAAGGCAGCCCCAACGACTCCTGGCAAGTGAGGCGGCATGCCATCCAGAGTGGATCTTAGCATCCATGGATATCGACAAGGCGTTCCTCAAGGGTTTGACCTATGAGGAACTTGCCCATGCCACCGGCGAGGAAACTCGCATGGTCTGCTTCACTCTTCCACCGGGAAGTGCCCAGGTACTTCGTGCACTACCCGGCTTCTCATCTTCTGACGAAAGCCGACACTGCCTCAGGTGCCTCAAACCAGGAACGGGTACAAAGGACGCTCCAAGAGCGTTCTCTCTCAAACTTCGTACGACCACACGAGCTATAGGCCTTGCACCGACCATTTATGATCCTGAATTTGAATTCAGCCAAGATCTGCTAACGGCAAAACATGCCGATGATAGCAACATGGCAGGCCTAGAGAAAAAGATTGACGACTACGCACAGCGTGTCGAAAAGGTGTTTGGCAAATGCAAGCTCAACAAACACTCATATACGAACTGCGCCGTTCGCTACACTAAGAGTGACCAAGGGGATGTGATCATGGATCAGGACGAGTATATCAAACAACTACGTCCTATCGCACACCCACCCAGAACTTACAGGAGCGGCGGCCGATGCCAAAGCCACGAAACTCATTACCGACATGTTCGTCAGCTTGCGAGGAGCCCTCGCCTATGCCCTTCTTATTCAAATCTGGCTCATGGTATACGTGGTCTCTCTCCAGAAAATCCAAGAGCCCACTAATCTGCAAGTTAGACGCCTGAATGCTGTGGCGCGAAAGCTGATCAGCAGCCCGAAACGCATCACTTTCCCTCGGATGAAGCCTACGAATGAAGTAGACATCCACAGCGATCCGGGGTATCGGAAGCTCACCGGGGAGGAGGATGATGGGACCAAGGGCTACGGCATACGCGGGGCTAATGCACTACGGCGAGGAAACTCGCCTCAAGGCAAGTCCGTCGTTCACCTCTGTGACGGACTATGCAATTCACACCGACTGCAGGTGAGGTCCAGCTATGCTGCGGAGGCACTCGCAGCTGCGCATAACCTTGATGAGTGTTACCCTACGCTCATCACACTCCACGAGCTCAAGGCAGGAGCTCTGACTCCACGACAACTACGAGATATGCGTGAAGTTGGAGGCCTAGCCATCAAAGTATCTCTCACCATAGACGTTGAGTCCGTTTATAAATCATTATCAAGCAAGGATCTTAAGATACCGACAGAGCGGACTCTGCTTGGACATATCAGTTGGATACGTGAGCTCATGGATATAGGTATAGTACATAACGTGCAGTGGTGTGATACTAGGGATATGACCGCAGACGGGCATACAAAGGGAAGCATCGATCGGGGGCTGCTTCTGGAGGTAATGTCAGGCACTCAGTCATTCAAGTATGACTTGAAGCAGTTTGTTCCCTTCCGGGGTCCCGAGGACAGAACTAAACCTAAGTTTAATCAAGTTTAGTATGTCCTTGTTGCCCCCCCGCGGTCCAATTTGCCAGCATGGGCGCCTACTACAGAGGCGCCCTTCTAGTTGCTCGGAAACGAGCCTTACATTTCACGCCTGGCAACGAGCCGGCTTTATATGACTCAGGCTCTTTGCCTTAATGCCTATTTGCTCGGTGAGGTATGGCCCATTTGGCTTACCTCTAACTGAGCCGATAGCCCTCCATCGTTCGAAGGGACTATCTTGTATTTGCGTGAAATGCCTTGCGAGGAAACTCGCTTTACAGTCTGGTGATAGGCCAGACTGTACGCTGTTTTCTCTCTTGCAAACAGTTGTGCGCGCGGCCTTTGTACAGCCTAACGGCTGCGCGGCTATGCTCTCCGTCTCCTCCCCTTTCGACTTTAAGGGTAGCTCTTTGGGAGATGTTATAGTATCGGGGGCATAGCTCGCGCGCCGTTGCCTTGGGCTCAAGGCACGCGCGCCCTATTTGCCCGGACACTGCTTGTGTTCGCTACGTGCTGGAAAGATCATTACATCGATCTTATCCGATCTTATCCGTCCATTCCTCTTACTGAGCCGCCTCAGTACGGTACCGGGCGCTATTTGCCATCCGCTTCGCATGGAATCGGATGCTATTTGAGTTGCCAGGCTCACTTTCGACTCAGCGTTGGGTCCTGATGGCGAGGGGCGTGGTGCGTGTTTTCCGACGCCAGCGATTGGCAGTTCATAGTTCTAGGCGCAAAGGAGGTGCGCGCGGAGGAGGATTGATGAGGCTATCATCTTGCATTACCAACCAATGGTTGTTTTGTAAGACTGTGTAGGTAGCGCAAAGCAGGACGGAGTCGAAACGATGGGAGCGTTACCATGCAGACTCGAAATCGTCTTGCGTGCGAGTTCGAGGCTGATGTTTCCGACGCGCTCCGTAGCCATTTGCTCAATGCGCATTTATGCCAGCAGTGCCAGAAGCATCGCGTAGCGCAGTCGGCCCCGCTTGTCGGGGCTCGCGACGTCCGTCGGCGAGGGGGGGGGGGGGGGCGCCGAGCAGATGGGGCTGGGCCGCGCGCGAGGCGCAGCAGCTCGAGGCGCGGGCGCGGGCCCTGGGGCATTCGGCGGCACTGGTGGTGCACGGCGACAAGAGCGAGGAGGTGGCGCAGACGGGCGTTCGAGTGTACAAGGAGTACCTAGAGACCTAGAGACAGTGAAGGCGGAGGGCAGCGCGCGTCGACGGGGGCCTCCCGAGCAGTGCCGCCATGGAGGGATTCCGAGCGTTTCAGGAAACTGGTGCGGCGCGGAGTCTTCTCAGCAGAAATCGGTGATCAATCTATGCCGCGTGTCCAGGCTGCTGCTGCTCATGCTGCTCAACGACGACGTGGGGGCCGCAGGGGCGTGGGTCGCAGAGCGCGCGGCCAGCCCGGCGCGCGGCGGCGAGGTGCACCGCGTGACGTTCAACGCGAAGGGCGCTATGATCGTGCCCGGAACCCCAGAGCAGGCAAAGCTTCTGGTAAATCAGCAGGTCGAGTTTTGGGGCATGGTCGGAAACTAGGAAAGCGATGAGAAGGAAGCAGAGGCGATGGCAGGCATGCAGAGGACCCCCTTGGAGTGCCCGGCGATCGAGCAGGGTTGCAAGATGGTGGGGCTCCACGCGGCGTTGCTCTCAATCCTGCGAGCGATGGGGTTCACTTTCAAACCAGACAGGGCCCCCGGGGCGGACTTGTGACGCAGCTCGGGGCCAAGGAGAAGTAGGAGATGGCCCAGGCGAGCATGATTTAGGCTGGGGGAGCTGCTTTGACTGATGCACTGGCTGAGGGGCTCTTGCTAGGTCAGTGTGATTGTTGTGCATCTTTCTGTGACGGATGCTTTGGCTGTGGGGCTACTGCTACGTCTGTGCAACGTGATGAGCATCTTGCTCCAGGCGTGCATGTTCGGCATCTAGTAGGCTCCAGGCCTGTGTCGTGTCAATTAGTCTTCGACTGAATATTTTCCCTCTTGTCGTGGAGGAAAATCTGCGCGGTTTGCCCCGCGTGGGCATGTGTGGGCATGGCCCAGCATGCGTTCGAGAATTGCTCGAACAGTTGAGTGCGGGTCTCGGCCTCTCGTGGTGCTGAGGTCAGTGCTAAGCTGCCCCAGTGATGTAGGCTCCTAATCGTAGTGCCGCGCCTTCCCGGTGAGCACGAGGCCCCGAGATCCTGTCTGTACCTCTGCGTTTGATTGTTATCGAAGGGGGTGAGAAGAAGAGAGGCTCCCAGTATGTTTATGACGGCTACCATGTGCGCGGCCGAGCGGCCGCTGTTTTTTTTGTTTCGTCGCGCGCGCATCTGAAGGAACTCGTTCGATGAGTGGGGCCGGGGGGGTGGGGGGGAGAGGCGCTAAACCTGATCAAGATCAGGGCGCATGCCGTTCAGAAGAAGGTCTTAGGCGGTGGTGTCGCGCCCAGGCAGAGTTGTGGCAATCGTCCAGCCGACATTGCGCGCGCGGCAGCCGCGGCTACTCGTCTTCCGTTAGTTGACAGCCAACAGTTGCGAGCGATGCTGAAAGTTGTTCTGACCTGGGGATCCTGGGCCGCTACGCTTTTGGTGGGGCTGTCTGACCCTGGTCGCCCGCCGAAGCGCTTCAAAGTCAAGCTTCCGCATGCGCACCTCATCCCTGTCCGATGTCCTGCCCCCGCGGATGTGGTTTCTCGTGTTAGTCGCTTGGTGGTCGTTGGGGGCAGGGGCTCGGCTGCATTCGTTTTTCCCAACCATCCTGTGGTGTTGGGTCTTAGCTTTGAAAGGACGGTCCCCGCGTCCCCGCGTCCTCCCTCCCTCCTCCCCCTCCCCCACCTCCTTTCTCCCTGCGTGTCACCCACCCAGTGCAGCGTTTCGTGGCCCCATAGGGAGCTCCACCGACGGCCCCAGTGGCAGGGTTCGCATGGCGGCCCCGCGTTTACCCCTCACACGGTTCGTGGCCCCACACGGAGCTCCATTGAAGGCCCCGGTGGCAGGGTTCGCATGGCGGCCCCGTTCCATTCTGCCGGGGCTCCACCGAAGGCCTGCCCCGCCCCGTTTTGGCGCACCCCTCGCACACTTCGTGGCCCCACAGGGAGCTCCAACGCAGGCCCCAGTGGCAGGGTTCGCATGGCGGCCCCGCGCCACTTTGGTGCACCCGTCACACGGTTCGTGGCTCCACAGGGAGCTCCACCGCAGGCCCCAGTAGCAAGATTCGCATGTCGGCCCCACCTCATTTTGGCGCACCCCTCACACGGTTCGTGGCCCCAGAAAGAGGGCCCCACCGAAGCCCTCAGTGGTAGGGTTCGCATGGCGGCCCCGCGCCATTTTGGCGCACCCGTCACACGGCTCATGGCCCCACAGGGAGCTCCACCGAAAGCCTTGGTGGCAGGGTTCGCATGGCGGCCCCGCTCGTCCCACGTGCCCTGCGGTTCACAATGGCGTATTGTTGGGTCCTTGGCCAGGGGTGCATTCACTGTGCGAACTCTGTGTCCTCTCGCGTGGTTTCTCTTGCGCATCCTTGTCCAACCAACGTGACGGACCGCGGAACCAAGGTCCTGAAACGTCTTGCGAAAACGCAGTTTCGGCTTGGATCCAAGATGTTTCGAGTCGATTCCATGACGAGGTTATGAGCCTACTGTGTGCTACCTTCCTCCATCCTTTTCTGTTTTGCTTCATCTCCCGCCTCGAGATTGGCGGCAGGTTTTCTGGTGAATTGTGACATCCATTGAAGATGCGCGAGACCTCGCCTCCTTGCGTTTGAGACTGGCTGCGTTGAGGCGTTCTGCTGGTTTCAGCAGCTTTCGCCGCCGCCCGCCGCCCTACTGTTGTGTGCATGCAGTGGTGAAAATGGCCCCGATCAAAGGGGAGTGCGCCACCTGCCTCTGCGCGGTGATCGGTGACGGTGGACAAACTCTGTCCGGCGCCAGGCTGTGCCCAGGAGGAGGAGGAGGAGGGGGAGGAGGAGGAGGAGGAGGAGGAGGAGGAGGAGAAAGAGGAGTGGGGGGAGTACTTCCGAATCCAAATTCGCCGCTGAACTTTGGAGGCTGAACCTATGATCGGGACTGCTATGTGCGCATGGCTTTTGTCGCTCTGCTTATGCTCAATTCTTCCTTCTCGACTCGTGTCGCCATCGGTCCTAATGTTCCTGCCTGCTCTCCCGCTCTCGCCGCTCATGTTTGCCTTTCTTCTTAGCGGTCGGATATAGAGGATGTTTCCCGCCAGGGCGCCTGCGCTCTTCTTTGTTCTGCGCGGGAACATGGCTGTGACGGGGTTCTGGGAGTGCTTTCCAGCTCGCCCGGGATAATTTTTAGGTCTTGGGGATACTTGTCCTGTTTCCCGCTCGGAAAATTCCGTCGTTCCCCTCCGTGGAGTCCGGTTCGCCCGTCGACCCCGCGGGCGTCCTTGGGTCGCCCCAGGGAGGCACAAGAGGACCATGGCCTTGATGCGCCTCATCAGGGCCGCAAGACGGTCCAAAAGAACCTCACGACGGCCTCCAAATGCGCCCAAGAGGCCCCCGAAGGGCCCCAAAGGCCCCCAAGAGGCCGCCAAGAAACCCCCGATGGTCCTCGAAATCCGCCTCGAGAGGTATCCCGAGGGATCACCATGTCGCCAGTTGAGTCTCCACGTTGGCCTCCGATGCGGTCGGGTGACATCGCTCACGTCGACCACCTCGCTCCTATCGCTCGAGGTAGACCCTTCAAGAAAGAGCGCGCATCCCTTGGCCCCGCCTTCCCTTGAACTTGGCTTACAATGGGGGGCTGCTCAGGGCCACCTCTATAGGAACTTCCACGGGGGGGCGCCCCGAGCAGTTGAGTAGGTTTTGTTGCTGCGTGGCTACAGCCACCCGACATCATATGATCGTCCATGCGCGACTCGCTACGTTGGTCTGACTGCGTTTGTTTGCGCCGCGTGCCATTTGCCAACAGTATGCTCGTGTCCTCATCCTCTTCTTCCTCTACCCTATCCATTCCCCCCGATGTCTATTGCCATTTCCCTGCAGTTATCCTCTTTCATTGCCTTTGCCCTTCCATTTCCTCCTCTTTGCCCGCTTCTTCCCCTCCTCGGCGCTCTCCGCATCTTCCTCCGCGTCCCCTTCCTTCTCCACGCCCTCCGAATCAATTATCATCGTTTTCGATGTCTTCCGTCGTGCCCTCCAAGTTGTGTTTTCTTCTCGCGCCCCCCACCACTCCTCCGTTTACCCCGCGCATCCATTTCATATTAGTCTAATGTTCCTCATTGCTTTCCTTTTGCATGTTCCCTTCTCTTCCAACGGTCGCCATTTGAGGCCTCCTGTTCCTCCTCGCTTGTTCCTTGCGTTGTTCCTCCGTTTCCTCGCTTTCCCTCCTGTTCCCCTCTTTTTTCGTGTGTTTCCGTTGGGGAACTCTGGGGTTCTCTTTGGGGCATCCTGGGGACCTCTTGGATTTTAGGTCTTCTGGTGCCGTTTTGTCGGCCGAAGGATTGCCCTTGCCAGGAACCCAATGGACCTCGTTCACACCTCGCCCCACCTCTCCCGCCATATCCAAACGAGGGGACAGTGGGAAACCTTCCCCGACACACATGTGCATCTCTATTGCTTTTTTGCCGTTTCTGGTGCCCCTCGTGTAGATCTACATTGTAGTTTGCCGATTTTGGTGTCCCTGGTGTAGATTCTACAGGCTTACGCCACATCCGCCGACCCCTTCTGTGAGTGTTGCGAGGCCAGGAGTTTCTGGCCAGCGGCGTCTTGTGTGAGGGTGCGGTGTCGCGCGCGGGTGGTGGCAGATACGTAAGGGGGTCCAAATGTTTGCGTGATGCCGGTGGTCTGGGGCGCGTTTTGCGAGCGCCTTGCGTGCTGTGCGCCCGGATGCGGGGTGTCATTCTGGGAGGTCGGCCTTTAGACCCGCAACCAAATGAAGGACCACCGGAAGACGAAAGGAGCAAGAGTAGTGTGCGGAAGCTGTGATCAGCGAGGCATCACCGCGAAAAATGTGGCAGATGAGTCGAAACGGGTGAAGAGGCTGTTGACGTTCGCAGCGCGCACGAAACAGTTCACGCGGCAGCAGCACATTAGCGCCGAGCAAGATAGTGAGCACGTCGCGAGGAAGAGTAAGGCTGTATGCGCGGATTGCATTGCAGATGGCTCGACGGCTCGCAATACGGAGGCGTCTGGGGGTCTTTTGGGGGCCTCCTGGGGGCCTCTTGGGGGCTCCTTCGGGCGTCTTGGCGGCCTCTTGGGGGCCTCTGGCGGCCTCTTGGGGCGCTCTTGGGGCCCCCTGGGACTCGTGGGGGCGGAAAGCTAGATTTTTGAATTTATGGTTGCCCTCTTGGGCCCCTCTTGGTGCCGTCTTGGATCCCTTTTTGGCCGTTTTGGGGACCTCTTGGGCCGTCTTGGGGCCATCTTGGGCCGTCGTGGGGCCGTCTTGGGGGCCTCTTGGGCCGTCTTGGGGCGGTCATCGGGGCTTCTTGGGCCGTCTTGGAACGTCGGAAAGCCCACGGGGCGAATTTGTGAAACATGTACGTTTTACCAAGGAAATGAGCAAACTTTTGCGTTTAGGGACCCTCTTGGGACGCATCTTGGAGGCCTCTTGGGGGCGTCTTGGGCCATCTGGAGGCCGTCTCGGGTGTCCTCGATCGCTCTTGGACCGTGTGGGACCATGTTGAATTCTCCTGGAAACCACTTGGAGCGCTCTTGGGGCCGTCTTCGGGGCTTTCTTGGGCCGTTTTCGGCGCCACTGGAGCCGTCTTGGCGCCCTCTTGGGCTGTCTTGGGGCCCTTTTGAAGGCTTCTTGGACAGTCTTGGGGCGTTTGGGAACGTCGGAAAGCCCAGAAGGCGAATTTGTGAAACATGTACGTTTTACGAAGGGAAATGGCCAGTTTTTGCGTCTAGAGGCCCTCTTGGGGCGCATCATGGATGCCTCTTGGGGCCTTTTGGGAGCATCTTGGGCCGTCTGGAGGCCATCTTCGGTGTCGTTGATCGCTCTTGGACCGTCTGGGACCATATTGAGCTCTCTTCGGGGCCACTTGGGGCGCTCCCGGAGCGCTCTTGGGGCCGTCTTCGGGGCCCTCTTGGGCCGTCTTGGACGCCTGTTGGGCCGTCTTGGGGCCCTCTTGTGGGCTATCTTTGGGCGGTTTGGGGGGCCTCTTGGGCCGCCTGGGAGCATCGGAAAGCCCAGAAGGCGAATTTGTGAAAATTGTACGTTTTACGAAGGGAATGGGCAAATTTCTGCGTTTAGGGACCCTCTTGGTACGCATCTTGGGGGCCTCTTGGGGCCTCGTGGGGGCCTCTTCGGCCGTCTTCGAGGCCCCTTGGCCCGTCTTGGGGTCATCTTGGGCGTCTTGGGGCGCTGGTTTGGCGTCTCGGGGCCTTCGTGGGCCGTCTTGGAGGCCTCTGGGGGCCTTCTTGGACCATCTTTAGGCCTTCTTGGGCCCAGAAGAGCCCGTGAGTCGCTTGTCGGGCCCCCCCCCCTTCAAATCGACCGGACCGGGCTCCCGGGGGAGGGGTTTGGGGAGGGGGGGGCATTTCACACGCCGATGATCCCCAAGGGGTCGGCGGATTTACACTGGTGTTTGCCATTCCCACAGTTCCTAGTGTCTACATTGTCGTTGGGCCTTCCATGTTTACCCATCGTTTATCTACATGAGCGCGCGTGTGATCTGGATTGTGACAGGGCGCGTGTCCAATATCTACATCAACGTTTCGCTCATGTAGATTTGTTGTTGCTGGTTTTCATAACTACGCTAAGAGTTGTGTCCGTGTAGTTTGTGTTGCTTCCGTTTGTCGAAAACTACATTAAGGTGGGTCTAACCTAGATCGTTGTGCGGCTTCATAGTGTAGATCTGCATTGCGCCTTTGCCCATCGCGGCGTCCTAGCGTAGATATACTGCGTTTTTTGCCCACTACGGCCCCCAGAAACGATCTACATTGCGCCAGTGCCAAATCGCATTCCGAGAGCGAAGACGGGACTGCGCCATTGCCGAAGTGGATTTCCGAGGGCGGAGAGGGGGCGGGAGAGGCGGAAGAGAGAGGAGGTGAGGAGTGGTACTGGCGGAGGGCGGTGAGAGAGCATTGGGGGGACAGCGGTGGGAGTTCTCGTTTACGATACGGCCCGAGGCGCCCGGGCGATGGAACGAGGAGACGGGGAGGCATGGGAGGACGGCGGCGAGGGTGACGAGGCGCACGATGAGGAGGGCCTGGGAGTAGAAGGGGGGGAGAGGGAGGGGGAAGGAGAAGGCTTGTGTGCGTTATGCAGCGCAGTCATGAGTGCTCCAAGGATCGCCTGGACACCCGGAGGCCCCCCACGGGGGCGGAGGATCCATGCCCATCCTGTCACGGGTCGGGGGGCCCTTCAATCAACATGCAAGTGAGGAGCGAGAGGAGGGATGTTAGGAGGTTGATGGGGAAAGTAATAAGAGGAGGACAATCAGGAACAGAGGGCATGGAGGACATGGAGGCGGATGATGCAGATTCCCTGGTGGTGGATAAGGAAGAAGAGGGGGTGCAGGTCGAGGTGGGGGTGGAGAAGGAAGATGCGGAAGAGGACGATCGGCAAGCGGGGCGTGGCGTGCGGAGGTGCGTGGGCGGAGGTTGAGGTGGAGATCGGCCACAGTGCGTGGGCGGAAGTGGGCATTCTAAATTCATTGGGTCTTCGGGACGGCTTCAGGAAAATCCCGTGAAGGATCCAAGACGGCTTCGCGAAGTAAAATACAGTCATATGCTTAACCACATATACCACTCACGTGCTTCCGCCAGCCCCCGCATCACCCGGGCAACCCCGCCAGGCCTCGCCCCAGGCGTGGCTGCAGAATCAACTTTGGCGTCCGGGGCGGGGTGGCCCTGGAACCCCCTGGGTGCTCCTCTCGAAGCAGCCCCCCGCAGCAACCCAACCCTGAACCATCTTTCTCCGGCCTGAAGTCTGTGAGTTCTCCGAAGACTACTGCTGGGCACTGGTCAACAGGCAT